GAGGTGCCGCGGAGGAGGCGGTTTGGAGCAGGAGGAAGCGGCTGGCGAGGTGTGGCCGTCTGACCCTTCTGGTGCCCGCTGCCCTGGGGTCGTTCACGGAAGACGGCTCTGGGGGCTCTTGCTCCTTACCCACCCTGCAGGCGCCCAGCGCTGCCTCCTCCAGGACTCCGCGCTACGCGGCGCCGCCAACCGCCCCGTCCTCTGGGCGCCCTCACGTCCTCCACCCACCGCCCACAGGGCGAGCCACACGTCCACGGGCTCACAGGGGCTCGGGGTGCAGGAAGAGCTCTCCATCCCGGCAAAGCGCGGCTGCCCTGGGGGCAAGGCTGTTCCCCTCGCTCCGGGCAGACCCCTCGGGGGCAGGGCCCCTGTCCCCAGCAGATCGCAAGGCCCGGCCAGAGCCTGGTGGCCTGGCCCCGTAGGCTGCGTTCTTATCTGCTCCCCTTCCCTCCCCAGGAAGCCAGCCAGGCCCGGAGACAGACCCCAAGGCCTGGCTGGAGTCAGGGAGTGTATATGGGGGCGCAGGAATGGCGGCGGTGGGGGGGCAGGTCCAGAACTGGTCCCACGGGGAAAATTCCATTCCGGATGAGGCTGGAGGATGAGGGAGCCGGAGCCCAAGAGGTAGGGGGGAGGGACGGGACGCTTCCCTCACCCCCGCCCTCCCTCCGTCCCCCCTGCGGGTCTAGGGGGCTCTCCCTGGAGAACCCGGCAGCCTAAGCCACCAGCCAGGCCCTGGTGGCCCCTGGGTGCTTCCTGCCCCCACGACCCTAAGGACTGAGTGACCGCAAGCCTGGCTCTGGGAAAACTTGGGAATCGGCTACAGGGAAGGCAGACAAGGCCAACTTCCTACACAGACCTGCCTTGCCCTCCCTCCCCCAGAAGCCCGCCCCCTTTCCTTCCCAGACATCAGCTAGACGCCATCTTCCCCGCCTGGCCCCTGTCCAGCCTTGCAGGGAGTTGCAGAATGCCCGTCGTCGGACCTACGGGTTCGTCATTCTCTTACGGATAAAGGGACTATTTAACTTAAGAAGTTACAAAAACAGGCCTGCCCGGTGGCTCAGGCCTGTAATCCCAGCACTTTGGGAGGCCGAGGGAGGATGCTTGAGGCCAGGAGTTTGAGACCAGCCTGAGCAAGAAGAAGATCCCATCTCTACTTAATATAAAAAAAAAAAGAAGTCACTAAAAGAACAACAAATGAACCCAAAGTAATAGAAGGAAAGATACAATAAAGACGAAAGCAGAGATGATGAAATGGAAGATGCAAATACAATAGAAAGGACTAATAAAACCAAAGTCACTTCTAGGAAATGACTAATAAAGCTGACAAGCCTCTTGCAAGACTGACCATGAAGAAGAGAGTCGGCACAAACAAAAAACCTGAGGACCAGGAAGGAGGACATAATGCGAAAACTGCAGAGATTTCTTTAAAAAATAGAATACTACAAACAAGCTGCAACCCTCCGGCGGTAAGTTCGAAGCCTTCGCGAGATGAACACTGTCCTAGAAAAATATCAAAATTTGCTCAAGAACAAACAGAGAATTTAAGATGTATAGTCATTAAAGAAATCTGAATGTATAGTTAAAAGTCTATACACAAACCCTCGAAAAAAACGCCACACGCGACAGCAGGCTAGATGATTTTACGAAATCACACTACACAAATTCAGGGAAAAGGTGGTTCCAATCTCATATTAACTCTTTCGGAAAAAGAAAAAGAACATCCCCAAGACTCCCTTTTACGAGCCTCATGTAACCTTAAAAACAGGGCAGTGTGAGAAAGGCAGACGGCAGACAGAGCTTGCTTACAGCATAAATACAAAAATGCTTAACAAAAATGCCAGCAAATGAACCTAGCATTGGATAACAAAAAAATGATACGACAGACCCCAGCTGGGTTTGTCCCAGGAATGAAAAGATGGTTAAAAAGTAGAAAAATCTATTAATGTAACTGACTACATTAACAAATTAAAAGAAAAACAATACGATCATCCCAATAGGTGCAGAAAAAGCAATCGATAAAGTTCAACACTTGTTCTTGATTTGAAAGCAAACGGTAAACTTGAAACAAAAGAAAGACGTCATAGCCTAATAAACGGTATCTATCAAAAACCCACATCAGCCATCCTACTTCACAGCGAAATGTCAGGATCCCCGTCAAAACGAGGGAGGAGGCAAGGATGCCTGTGGCCACCACCTCTAGCTACCAAGGGAAGGAAGACAAAGAAAAAAAATAAAAGGAATAATGATTGGAGAAATAAAATGGTCATTATTTCCAGAGAGTCTGACTGTCTATGCAGAAAGCCCTGAAGAATCACGAGAAGGAAGGATTAGAATTAATACGGAGGAGAAGGCGCAGGCGGGCGGGGAGCTCTCCTCTCTCCGTGGCCTCGCCTGGCAGCTCTGTGCTCACCTCCCCGTCGGCCACCGGAGGGCTCCCGGCCAGGATGAGCCACCTGCCCCTGCTGTTTCCTGACCGGAAGCAGAGAGCTGAGTTCGGGGTCCAGGCACCAGCCCGTCTCAACCCTGGGCAATGTGCCAGGCTTGGTTCTTGGGTGTCCCCCGTCCTCCCCCGGCCTCTCTGTATCGACAGGTGGTTGACAAGCTTTTCATCCCTGTCCGGTCCGACGAGCCCGTGTTACTTCACCAAGCAGCCAAATCCGCAGGGAAGCCACGTGGGCCCGGTCGAGCTGGGCAGGCAAGGCCCGAAGGGGCAGGGACGGAGGAAGCCAGGCCTCCCCTGCCTCGGAGCCAGGGGAAGAGGGTGGGCCCAGGGCCAGCGAGGGCCCTGGAGGGGTCAGAGGAGCTACGGGGATGGGAGAAAGGCACAGGCCCGGACAGGAAGAGCACGAGGGGGTCTCTGTCCCCAGCGGTCTAAGGGACACCTCTGACAAGGGCCACACCTGACCCTGTGCTCTGGGAAGCCAGGGGCCGGTATTCAGCAAATTACTGAAACTTAGTGTCTTAAAACAACCAGGCGCGTTTCTCGCCCCTGGCTGGGGCTCGGGGCGTCAGGGCCCGCTGGGCTGGGCGTTCCCGGCTCGGGCCTCTCGTGAGTGGCAGGCGGCATGTCAGCCGGGGCTGCTGTCACCCGTCAGCGTGGTGGCTGGAGGACCTACTTCCAGGGTGGCTCACCCACCGGGCCAACAAGCTGGTGCCGCGGCTGGCAGGAGGCCTCAGCTCCCGCCACGTGGTCCGCTCTGTTGGTTACGCTCGTGTCCACGCGGACAACTCAGCTTTGGAGTCCCTCTGCTCCGTGGGAGCTGCCGTGGCCTGACTCTTCAGCGCCGCTTTGACATTAAAGGCAGCCTCTGCCCTCCCTTAGGAGAGAAGAGTCTGGCGGGAGGGGACGAGCCCAGGGTTAATAAACAGCACCGCAGGGTCTGCGGAGTGTGAGGTCCACACCAGGCAAGCTGGAGTCGGCGGCCACCCCACGACCAGGCCTTCTGAGGCGCTGGGGCTCCGAGACCACCGCCCGCAGCTTCCCCTGGCTCACCCGGAGAGTGCTCACTTCCTCCCCGCTGGCCGATGCCAGCGCCTTCAGACAGGAACGTGTGGGACAGGCAGGCACAGCAACAGGGAGGAGTGGAGACTGCGGCAAACTGGAATGCCAAAGGCATTCGCTTCAAAAGCACTTTTCAATGCCACAGCGCCCAAACAGACCGCAGCTGCCGGACTTGGCCCCTGACCGCCAGTCTGAAACTCAAGCAGCCTCGGGATGAGGGGAAAACAGCTGCCAGCAGGACTCCACGGCTGTTCTCGCTCCCATGCGTGCTCTGGGCGCCTCAGAGGGTGGGATTGCTGCTCCTACGCACGTCGTGGAGCCGCCGCGAGGGGGGCCCAGGAGCTGCGACGTCGCTTGAAGCCCTTTCCCTCCCGTTCCTCCAGTCCCGGCCCCGCCACCCAGACCCCTCTGGCCCCAGGGAGCGGAAGAGCAAGGAGCCACCCTGCCCCGGCACCGCCCTCCCGCACGGCGGGGTCTGGGCGGCCTAGCGACTGGGGAGTCGCTGCGGCGCCGGCGGGGGCCTCCCGGGAGACACAGAGGCCGGGAGCCGGGTGCCCACCGACCAGCGAGGGAGCTGCCCGGGCGCCCACGCCGCGAGGCGCAGCACCCCAGAGGCGGGAGCTCCAGGGAGGGCCTGCGCAGCCCTCCCCACCAGGGCGCGGCCCCTCCGCCACCAGGTGGCACTGGCGCCCTTCCCTTCCGGACGACCTGGCCTCAAAAAGGCCAGGTCTGGCCGGAGCAGTTTCTCTCCACCCCTCTCTTGGCCGCCCTTCCTTGCTCACTGGCCCGTCCAAGAAGGGTGAGCACAGGTGCCCAGAGCAGTCTAGGCGGAGGCAGGAGGGACAGCCAGAAGCCAGGGGTGGGGACATCGGTCCTGCCCAGCGTGCCTCCAGACTCGTCCTCACCAGCCCAGAGTCCGGGTGAAAGATGGTGGGTGCCCTGAGGACGGCCCGGGTTTGCCGGGGACGGACCTCGCCCCGGCCAGACCAGATTTTCACTCCTGCTGCTGGGCAGCGGCTCTTGGTGACAGCGTCCCCCGGGAGGCCTCCTCTGCCCCAGGAAGCTGTCCTGAAGTGCCGCCGGCCCCACTGCCTCTCCTCCTTCCCCTCTGAGCGCAGGAGCGCTGAACCTGCCCGAGCCCCGCCTCCTCCAGGAAGCCTCCCCTGCCAGGGAAGGACCTGGTGGGCCTAGCAGGGGCGTGGGGAGAGGAGCTGGTGAGGGAGGGAGGGAGCAAAGACGGCGCCCCCCACGTGCCCCTGAGTGGTGGACCCGGCTCGCGTGGCTCCGTGGCACCCCCTGGGGCGGAGTGGCAAGGACCAAAGGGTCCACAGAAGACACCTGGTCAGATGCCCATGGGCCGGCGGAAGACACGAAAGTCGGGGTGCCAGTGTGGGGAGGGCCCCCCAACCCTCCGCAGAGGGGCCCTCTCTCCCGCCCACCCCAAGACGGTGCATCCCAACGGGAACGGGCCAGCAAGAAGGAGACCAGCACACGGGACGGGGGGTCCACACCTGCTTGTTCACGGTGGGGATCTCAGGGAAGAACACGGCCCGAGCACAAGGAGACCAGGCTTCAGTCACATCTCCGCCCCAAGAAGCCGTGTGGACTTGAAAAAGTCGCTTCGTCACTCCGGCCCTGGGTTTCCCGGCCGTGAAGTCGGGGGTTTGGGTTAGAAGCAGGAAGGCAAACGGAGCTGACCGGAGCGCTGTTTGGAGGACTGTGCGGTGGGCAAGCCTCTGCGGTCGTTTAGCAATGTCTGCCTCGGGCAGAGGAAGGAGAGCAGAGGCGCGCGTGCCGTGTTTGTGAAGTCTAGAATCATCTTTGCAGCCCGGTGCTCCATGAGTGGATGAGGACGCTGCGGGAAGACTGTGGAACCGTGGCTGGAGCTGGGGACACCCTGAGACCCCCTCCGGGAAAACTCCAAACAGAGAGGGCGTGTGAAGGCTTCCCCCCTCGCTGGTTCTCTCCTCCCTCCCCTCGGCCCCTCGGAACATTGAGCCCAAGGAACGGCTCCCTCCGACGGAACTCAGAATCCACCGTGGCGCGTTCGGGCATCACCTCTGTCACGGCGACTTCCACCGGGCTCTCGGAGTCAGACCACGGCCGCACTCCCATCATGGCTGCTGTCCCCATGTGCAGACGCGGCAAGCGCCAGCTGGAAGCTTCCCCACAGCGGGGCTCCGCGTCGTGATCGGACGGGGGACTCACCCGACCACCCTCCTTCACGGACAAAACGGCGTGTTCCAACGGGGCGCTGGCGCCCAGCACGGCTCGTGCACACCGGGAGGGGCTGCTCCGGCTGTGGAGAGGAGTCCGGCCTCCAGGGAGGTGCCCGTGGCCCCCCTGAGGTTCTCGGCAGGTCTGCGGTGGGGACCAAGGCAGGGCCGTCCCGGGGTGGGGAGTGGCCCTGAGTCAGGGGTCACCTGGCGTCCGGCCGCGCTCTACAGATGGGTCTCCTTCTGCCCAGCCATCAGCCCCTCCTTGGTGGGGGGCCGTCTGCCGTCCTGGGCAGCGCCACCCGGCGGGCAGAGATGCGGCCTGGGCTGCGGCAGGCTGGAGTCGGGGGTGGTGAGCTGCCGCAGGCGCTGTGGGGAGAAGAGGCGGAGAGCGGGTTCCTCCGTGAGCACGCCCGGGGCCCGGCACACGGCTGGGCCCGCGGGGCCACTCGCACATCTGAGCGAACGGGCAGCAGGTTGAGATGAGAGAAGAGGCGAGAACAGGGTGGTTAAGGGTGTGAACCGCCCGGGTTCCAGTCCCAGCCCTGCCGCCGAGACCTGCGCAGGCTCAGGCCACTCATTTAACCTCTCTGTTAATTTAATCCCTTCAATCTCCTCATCTGTAAAATGAGAATAATAAAATGCACCTCACAGAACAGGGCCTGGCACAGGGTAAGTGATCGATAAATGTCTATTTTTGTTATTATCGTTACTATTATTATGTGTTCAGTAAGTACAATTTTTCCTATTAGTACTATTGCTATTATTGTTATTGTTACCATCTCCTGCCCCCTTCTTCCTGCCTTGAGTACAGATGTGATGGCTGGCGTCATGACAGCCTTCTTGTGATCAAAAGGTGACCTACACGATGATGAAAAGACAACACGTTCAGTATGGAAGTGCAGAAATATAGGGAGAATCTGGTCCCTGATGGCCTCTTTATGCCATTGGACCAAATGCCAGCAGCCCCCACCTTTGCCCTTGATATGTTAAAAAAAAAAAAAACTATTTGCTGAAACTATTGTAGGTTGGGTTTTCTACTACTTGTAGGAAAAGTAGAGTTCTACCTTCGTGGGCCATTGGCTATAGCTCCTTCCGGGAAGGCATGTCCCAAACTCTAAACAGGGAGCCTTTTGCATGTGTCCCCAGGCAGGGTTAAGATGAGGAAAGAGGCCAGGGCCTGTGTATAAACGGACCGTGTAGCTGGTTATCAGTTTTTCACAAGCAAGGAATCTATGCTGCGTAAGCCTTCTGCGCCGGGCACCTCCACGTTCTCGCTTGTGACTTAGTTTCCTCCTTAATCCTTTGGCAGTTAGCCCTTGTCTAGCCTGCCCAGACGATCCGCAGGTCTAGGACACTGGGACTTTTAAGAACATTTCTGAAAGGCCACTGGCCTGGTCTTCAAAGGCCCTTCTCTGTAGGATTCCATGAGGCCCAAGGGCTGCCCCACACTCGGAGTGTGTGATTGCTGTGTGTCCTTCCCTCGGTTCAGCCTCTCTGAGGCCTTACTGGGTCACTTCTGCCAGCCACCTACCTTCTTGAAGGAACCCTGGGTCTTCAGGAGGGTGATGACGACGAAGAGCGGGACACAGACCATGGAGGAGAGAGCCAGGAACCAGCCGATGCAGTAGCCCCAGGGAGGGTACACGTAGACGTTGTTGTATTTGAGAGGGGCGTACTTGCTCAAGGAGAAGAGGAACGTGGCCTGGGAAGAGGAAGGGCGAGCGCAGGTGAGACAGAGGCCACCGCGGCCCTCTCGCCAGCGACTCACGGCCAAGGACAGAGGACACGTCAGATACAGAGCGGCGAAGAGTGACAGTCACCGCGCACGGCAGGCCAAGCCGCAGCGCACCTCCCGGACTGACAGGGGGACACGTAAGGAAGGAGGACAGAAAGGGCGGTCGCGGGCGACGAGGCGGGAGGCAGCAGGTGCCGCGAGAAAGGGGTGGGGCCGGGGGCGGAGTGATGCTGAGCCGGCCCCGGAAGAGAAGGGCGGGAACCACACGCGACGGGGAGGGGGCAGGGCTCCCGGGACAGGGACGGGCAGGGAAGAGCCCCGGAGGTCAGGCGCCCTGTCCCTCATCTCCGAAGTCTTCCGGGGACAGCAGGGAAGCGGGGGTGCTTACCAGGCAAAGGCCAGGGGTCAGGAAGAGCCAGGAGATCTTGACCAGGGGCCAGGGCCGGTAGCCGATCATGTCCTCGATGTTGTCGTAGAAGCGGTCTGCCCCTGGCCAGGCACGGCGGGAGACAGCGTGAGAACCGAGGGCGGGAACGGCTCCGCGGGCACCTGTGACGGCCCCCCCGGCTCTGTGCTCCTCCCCACCCCCGCCTGCCCCGTGCGGGGAGCCGGAGCAGGCACGGGAACGAGGCGTCCCTGGCACCCCGGCCCCAGAGCGGGGAGTGTGGGGAGGCAGGTGTCGCCCCAAGGAGCTGTTGGTGCAATCTCTGCCGTCCTGCCTGGCGACGAAGACCCCCGCTGTCCTGACCCCAAGGGAGAGGCGTGAGCCTCCACAGGGCTCAGTGGCTGCGTGAGCCCCTGTTCACCTCGTAGAGAGCTGAGTTCACTGCAGGCCAGGACAGCAAGAGGCCACCGTGCAAGCCTGTCGCACGAAGCCCACATAGAGCTAGAGAGCTGCTGGGACGGAGCGGTGGCCTAGATCTGCAGTCCCCACCCCCGGGCCGTGGACCTGCTGGGACTGGGCTGCAGAGCTCTGCCACCCTGCCCACCCCGCCCCCGCCGTCCCTGCAGCAACTGTCTCCTGTGAAACCTGGGACCGCAGAGCCGCACAGCAGGAGCGAGCGGCAGGTCCGTGTTTACAGCCGCTGCCCATCGCTCGCTTCCCCGCTGAGCTCCGCACCCCCCACACCCCCATCCCTGG